TTTTTGAGATGGAGTCTTACTCTGCCACCCAGGCTGGAGTGCAATGGTGCAGCCTCAGCTCACTGCAACCACTGCCTGCTCAGTTCAAGTGATTCTCCTGTCTCAGCCTCCCAAGTAGCTGGGATTACAGGTGCCCACCACCATGCCTGGCTAGTTTTCGTATTTTTAGTAGAGAAGGGCTTTCACCTCGGCCAGGCTGATCTTGAACTCCTAACCACCTGACCTGTCCCCCTTGGCCTCCCAAAGTGCTGGGATTACAGGCATGAGCCACCACACCCAGCTCTGTTGTTTTTGAGATGGAGTCTTGCTCTGTTGCCCGGGCAGAGTGCAATGGCACAGTCTCAGCTCACTGCAACCTCTGCCTCCTGGGTTCAAGCAATTCTTCTGCCTCAGCCTCCTGAGTAGCTGGTATTACAGGCACACGCCACCAAATTTTTGTATTTTAGTAGAGAAGGGGTTTTGCCATGTTGGCCAGGCTGGTTTCAAACTCCTGACCTGAAGCGATCTGCCAGCCTCAACCTCCCAGAGTGCTGGGATTACAGGTGTGAGCTACCCGTGCCCAGCCTCAGAGTTCAGAGTTTCTAAGGATAATTTGGTAGGTAGGGGATCAGTAAGCTGGGAGTGCTGATTATCAGAGAAGAAATCATATGGATCAAAGCTGTCCTCTTGGCCGGAGTCAGTTCCTGGGTGGGGCCACAAGATCAGATAAGCCAGTTTATCCATCTGGAGCATCCCAGCTGAACCAGGAAGTACAGATCTGCAAAATATCTCAAAAACTGATCTTCCGTTTTACCATAGTGACGTTAACCCCAGGAGCAATTTAGGGAGGGTCAGAATCTTGTAACCTCCAACTGCATGAATCCTAAACCGTAATTTCTAATGTCCTAATTTGTTAGTCCTACGAAGGCAGTCTAGTCCCCAGGCGAGAAAGTGATTTGTTTCCAGAAACTATAAGCTAAGTTTCTCCCAAAGTTAGTTAGGCCTACACCCAGGAATGAACAAGGACACTTGGACATTAGAAACAGGATGGAGTTGGTTAGGTCAGGTCTCTCACTGTCTCAGTTATAATGGTGTTTTCACTCGTTTTAAGACGGAGTTTATTTTTTTGAGACAGAATTTCACTCTCATCATGGAGGCTTGCATGCAGTGGTGTGATTTCAGCCCACTGCAACCCCCAACTCCTGGGTCAAGTGATTGTCCTGTCTCAGCCTTCTGAATAGCTGGGACTACAGGTGCCACGACCCAGCTCATTTCTTTTTGTATTTTTAGTAGAAACGAGGGTTCACCATGTTGGCCAGGCTGGTTTCGAACTTCTGACCTCAGGTGATCCACCCGCCTCGGCTTCCCAAAATGCTGGTATTACAGGTGTGAGCCAGGGCGCCAGCCAAGATGGAGTTGATTTTAAAACGGTGTCCCCCTGGCTCTCCTATGCTCCTGTTCCCCTAATACCGCGAAGGCTGCTGGCTGTTTTCTGGCCCCCAGGGAGGCCTCCACACACATTTACCCATGTTCTTAGACAATCCTAGGGACTCAGGGATTCAACAAACCTAAATGAACCAGCAGAAAAATAAACTTGAACTTGAATGTCACCGTTTTCCCACACGTACTGTAGAGCTATAATAATTTGGAAAGGTTTATTTCAAGAAGTGTTGGTAATTTAAACGTCTTATTTAATCCCCAAAACAGTCGTGAGGGGGAGACAAGGTGGTTATCTTCATAGCACAGCAAAGGAAAAAAGCCAGGGTCCCAGGCCGACCATACCCTCAGCTCCCTCAGCCCCAGGCCGCCCCGGCGGACACCCCTAGTACAGATGCTCCGTATCGATCGCCTGTATCAGTTTTTCAGCAAACGTGCATTGAGCACCAATTTAGTGGCAGGTTCTCCCCTGGGTGTGGGTTCTAAAGAGGGAACCAAACACGTTAGAGAGAAGAGGACACATAAATAACAACCTCAGCGAACGGCTGCAACTCCCACAGACACTCAGCGCGTGGCGCAGCCGGGAAGGGGGTGCGCGCCGTCAGGACCTGAAGACCGGGGCTGGGAGGAGACGCCCGGCCTGGCGGCCCCAGCGCGCGCCTCCGGGGCTCTGGGCGGCTCCGGCTCTGGCTCCCTGCACACCCGGAGGGCGACTTAGCCGCAGCCGGGCGGGGGCCGCTCCGGGGAACGGCGGGGCAGCGGCAGCTTTCGGGGCTCCTCCGCCCCCTCGGGTGCAGCGCTACTCCCCAGCGCCCGCCCGCCCGCCGTGGTTCCGCCCGGCCCCGCCCCTCGCGCCCGCCGTGGTTCCGCCCGGCCCCGCCCCTCGCGCCCGCCCTGGTGCAGCCTGCCGTGGCCCCGCCCCTCGCGCCCGCCCTGGTGCAGGCTGCCGCGGCCCCGCCCCTCGCGCCCGCCCTGGTGCAGCCTGCCGCGGCCCCGCCCCTCGCGCCCGCCGTGGTTCAGCCCGGCCCCGCCTCCCGCGCCCGCCGCCGTTCAGCCTGCCGTGACCCCGCCCGTCGCGCCTGCCGTCATTCAGCCCGGCCCCGCCCCTCGCTCCCGCCGCGGTTCAGTGGGCCGTGGACCCACCCCTCACGCCTGACGAGTTCAGCCCGGCCGTGGCCCCGCCCCCGCTGCCCCTGTTTGGCAACGCCTAGGCGGGGCCTCTCGTACCCACGCCCCCTAGGGGGCGGAGCGCGTGCGTGCGCGCGTGCGCAGGTCATGTTTGAGGCCGGAGAGTCTAGACGCGGCGGCATAGTGATCAGTGACTACCCGGAGTCCTGCAGGGGCGGGGCGGCACCGACAGCGGGGATCCCGGGTGAGGGGGAGCCAGGGTGAAGGGGCCCACGAGTGCCGGGAGCCCAGGTGACCGCGCGGGAGCCCAGGTGAGAGGCCAGGAACCCACGTGAGGGGCAGCCCAGGTGAGCGCGCGGTAGCCCACATCAGGGCGAGCCCGGGTGAGGGGGAGCCCGGGTGAGGGGCCAGGATGGTTCCTAGCGTCTGCGGTCCCAGCCCTGCCTTCTGGTGGGCGTGCGGCACCCCGGCCGGGGCGTTCCTGGGGTGAGCGGCGTTCCAGCCCCGCAGCCCGGGGTCCTGCCCGCGCGCGTGCCCGGTGGGCGTAGGGGGCTCCTAACGCCGACTCTAACTTTGGAGCCCCTGAGCGGCGCGGATGTCGGATGGCGGGAGGGGACAGGCGGCGGCGGAGGCGGAGGTGGCGCAGTCGCGCCTGACCTCGCTCCCCGCATACCGGCTGGGCAGGTATGGTCAGCTCACCTGTGTGCCCCTGAGGCTGGGAGACGGCTCCTGCGGAGCCACTTGGGTGCATTCGGAGCTGCTGTCAAGGACAGCTGACAGCAGCTGTCACGTGGTTGTGGCCTCCACTGGTCACCGAGTTAGCTGGGCGGAAGGGGACACGGAGCTGCTCACCAGGGTGTGGGCGGCGGAGGGACGCTGGGTCAGTCAGCACCTGTAGGAGGGGGAGGGACGCTGGGTCAGGTCACCAAGGCGTGGGGTGGGTAGGGGATGAGGGCGGGCACTGGGTCGGGTCAGCAGGTGGTGGGAGCTTCCCGGGCACTGGGCCCTATCGCCAGCTGCTCTGGGTTGGGGTTGGTGTGGACAGTGGGGAGGGGAGCCAAGGACTTCTCAGCCTGTGTAGGTTCTGCTGTAAGTGACTGTTCTCTGAAAGATTGGGGCGAGGCGGCTGTTTCTGACTCCTGTTTGAGTTTATCCTCCGTGTGAAATCTGTAATATCCAGTTCCTGCTGATCTCCCTCCCATATTTTGATTTTTATTTACATGAAACTTTTCAGGAAGGTCTTGAGAGGAAAAAGCAATGGTGAAGGAAGTGTGAGTGATTGAGGGAATGAGATGGCCACAGCTCCGTACTGAGCTGGGACAGTTCTGCGCTTGCCTTTCAGAAGCAGCATTAATAGACTGGCCGTCATCTAGGCTGTAGTTGTTATGGAAGTTCTTCCTGAGCATCCGGCTTTCACGAAAACAGCACAGGTTCTCTAGGTGGCCTCAGAGATGTTCACCACAGAATGTCTTATGATAACAAGGAACTGGATGAAAGCCAGCGTAGCCGTAATGCAGTGATGTGGCAGAAGAGGATTAGCTGTTGCTAAAAGAAGAGAAGCAGACCAGGGAGCAGCTTGTACGCTTTTATCCCGTTTTATGAAAAAGGGAAGAGTTTATATCTGGATAAACAGTTGACCCAGCAGGCACCAAAAAATAATGATAGTGCTTGGAGCTGTGTAAGAGGATTGTAAGTTTTTATTTTTGTATTTTTTTGCTTGTTCATATTTTCCAAATTTTATTAAACATATATTTCTTCTGATTTTGGAAAACATATTTTTACAAACCATCAATGTATAATTTTCAAAATGTTAGAAGTATAATTCTCATGTAAACAGCTCTTGTCAGATTATATTTCAGTCATTAGTCCAGGATCCAGGAGGATAGGCATGCCAGTTCAAAAGCAAGTACACAAAACTAGGATTTTCTTAGTGAGTGGGTAAAAGGAATGCTGAGAAAACATTGCTGGATTAGCTATAAGATGTGAATATCCTGCACGCAATGAAACTACAGCCTTTGGGATTATCTTTTCTTCTTGATGGAAAGGAGAATTAACTTTGCAGATTGTGAAATGTGTGGGCCACAATCAGTGGTAAATTGTTACTTCTAGAAAGTCAAGTGATTGTTGGGGTTGTAAAACACTGAACTTGTGTTAGCACGGAAAAAAGCATGCAGCCATTTTCTCCTTTTTGAGTTCACTTCCAAGTTTGGATAAATTATCTCAACCAAACAAAAAAAATGCTGGTGTCATAGCAGTTTAGCCCTCAGTAAACCGGAAGAGCGCACAGATGCATGATATAGCCCAAGGGTTCCGGTGGCCACTGAGCCCAGCTCCTGGTCACACTACAGCCGCTAACACTCTTACTGATTTGTTTGCATTCAGATTTTGTAAAACTGCATGGCCCAGTGCTGTAGAAGAGCTGAAACCACAGAATCTTCTAAGACTAGCTTTTTATATACATTTTCCCCAAAGAAAATGAAGCTCTGCAGAGTCAGGAGATGGTGGCCTTCAGGAGTTGTTTCTTCTCGGGCTCCACTTCCTGTACTGCAGAGAGGAAAGGAGCTGGTGTGGAGGGGCTTGCAAGCCTTCCAGAGTGAAAGAACAGGATGGGTCCATTAGGTTTGGCCTCTAGTTTTACCCCAGGAAGGAACAGTGACTTCCAGCTGCATGTTACACTTGAGGATTCCTTCTTCTGGCCTGAGCCTCATGGCAGGAGTGACATGAAGAAGGCACACAGCAAGGGAATAGTGGGAACCCCAGTGCCCCATTTTGCACATCAAGAGCGAGAGGGTTGTGGTTGGGTCAAGGAGCAGAAATAGAAGCAAAAGGAGAACCTGAGCTCTTCCCATACCCCTTCTGTGCTGTCTGCCAGACCAAGGCCTAGCCGCACTTCTGTGGGTACCCGCCTTGTGACTTGGGGTGAACCACAGCTGTTCTCCGTACAACTCTGACACTGCAAAAAAGGACAGTAGAGCTCTGCAGGACTCCAGGAAGACTGGCTGCTTGGGTTGGATCCTGGTACCCTGGCTCTGGGACTGGCCTTCCCTCATGACTGAGACAGCTGAGGAGTTCACCTCCTTCATGAACTCCTGGCTGGAGGATGCTGGCTGGCACTAACCAAACTCAGAGACCCACAATAACAAGGTAGACCAGAGCAGAACCAGCTTCCCGGAAAGTTCCTGTGCACACTGCTGTGTAGACCACACATAATCAGGAGGTTTGCGCAAAGAATCAGAATGGGGATTTGTTACAGGATTAGAAGGGGTAGTAAGCGTTCTGGTCTTTATGACCTGTTGTTTCTGCATCCCTAACTGGCACCTGTTCTGTGACTGCCAAGAAGGTTTGCCCACTCTCAGCTCTGGCTCGCCTGCTTCTGCCATTTTTTCTGTAGATACAGTAATCTCCACAAAGGCATCTAGAAAGCTTGAAGACCTGGAAGCTATTCGCCCTTCAGGGGAAGATCACACAAACTGGTTGAACGTCTGGCTCACAGTAGATGCTTCATTTCCCATTGCTCTGTGTGTTTCTTTTTCCATAGTCAGGCACTGGGATCCAGGGTGGTTCAGAAAGAAACTTGTTTTCTTTTTTTTTTTGTTTTTCTTTTGAGATGGAGTCTCGCTCTGTTGTGCAGGCTGGAGTACAGCAGCATGATCTCGGCTCACTGCACCCTCTGATTCCTGGGTTCCAGCGATTCTCCTGCCTCAACCTCCCGAGTAGCTCAGACTATAGGCATGTGCCACCATGCCCAGCTGCTTTTTGTTTTTTTAGTATAGATAAGGTTTTGCCATGTTAGCCAGGCTGGTCTTGAACTCCTGACCTCAAGTGTTTCACCCACCTCAGCCTCCCAAAGTGCTGGGATTACAGGCATGAGCCACCACGCCCGGCCTGAGACTTGTTTTCTTAGCTCCTAAATAGTGAAACCAAGTTCAGAACCACTAAGCCAACTGTTCTTCTTGGTCCTTTGGTTCTCATGTCCTGGAGCCCCTCCCACCTTGACCAAACCAAAGACTTCCTGAAGCATCACTTGGGCTCATCACTTCCACTGAGGTAGATTTGAGTCATTGCACTGGGCAGAGCCTTCCGGAGTGAGGGACCCTTCCGTCTCAAGGCAAAGGTCCCACAGAAGGTAGCTGTCTTGGCCAAGAGCACATTGATACAACTGTGACAAAATGGGACCTATAACCTGGATCTCATGACCGACTCATGGAAAAGTACAAGAAGAAGTTTTAGGAGGGGTCCATATTTTAACCTTTAACAATGTTGTTCAGGGTAACTCTTTTAATGAATTGCTATTCCGTGCTTGATACCCGTTCTTTCCACCCAGCCTGCTTTTCTTTAATGCTGGTGAACGGTCTCCCCCAAGCCTAGCCTGGTCTTCTTTAATGCTGGAAAGTGGTCTCCTCTCAGCCCAGCCTGCTTTTCTTTAATGCTGGTGAGCGGTCTCCCCGCCCAGCATCTGGCTGCACTTGAGGGTGATCAGCTCCTGTGAAGTGCATTGGGGTTAGAAGATGCCTTGCTGCACACTGAATTACCAGAGCGCTCTTGCCAGTCCCTCACTACCATGTTAAACCCGATTTGAGTAGAAGTTCACAGAGGTGTGTTTGGAGATGTGTAAGTACACGGGAATCTTGACATAACGTGACCAGCGGTGTGGGCCCCAGGTGTTGGTCGTGGGCATGGCAGCCTCTCAGTCGTCATCATAGCATCTATCAGAGAGCACACCTGTGTGCCCTGAACACCCGCACCAGCGGCAGCAGGACACGGGAGCCGTTTCTCTAGGGAGAAACATGAATGCCAGTGCTGTCTTTCCCTCGTCAGATTTGTGTTTGCACAGAGCCAGCCTGTGTTAAAGCTGGAATGTTAATGGAGAAACAGAAAAACGCTGGTACTATTTTGCCTTTGATTGTACGACTGTTATCAAACCAAAAGGTTAGGGGTTAACAGCGTTCTCTTGTGATTTGCATTAGGTCCCAGGACTCACACTCAGTGTGAGCTTGAGTGAGCTAGTGCTTTCTACGTCCTTGGGGTGTGGTTACAGCGACCATCTTTCCTCAGTAACAATTGGCGAGTTTTGCTGAATGGCCACAGATGAAGGGCTCCTCCTACGCTTCCAGCTGTAGTCCTACCGCCTCACAATGCAGCCAGTTCTGGGGTCCCTTCTAGAGAGCAGAGGGTCGAGCTGTGTAGGGAGCACAGTGCTCACAGCTCTGCCCTCTGTTCGCTGGCTGTGAGCGACAGGAGTCCCCACTCCCTGCAAAAATGCCCTGTCTGGGCAGGTCCTGCACACTGGGTGAGGGGGTAGAGGTGGGATCTGAGGCTTTGTCAGTAGCTGTTCCTATGTCCTCGT